GGCGGGCCGCGGCGTGTCTGTCTGTCTGTCTGTCTGTCTGTCTGTCTGTCTGTCTCTGTTGGCTTCGCTCTCCCCCCCCCCCCCCCCCGCTTCCCCGTGACTTCTCTTTCTGTGCATGGTGCGCAAAGCGCTCGTTGTCGGGGGCCGTGGGGGGCGCTGCCGTTTGTCGTTGCTCGTGGCGCTGCACGGACGCTGCGCGTGTTGCCCTGTGCCCCGTGCGGAAGTGGGGCTGGGTAGGGACGCTTTCTGTTGCTGGGGGAGGAGAGCGCCCGCAGCGTGGGAGCACCCCGTGGGGATGTGCATATTTATTTATTTAGAAAATTTCTAGGCCGCCCCATTCGCCGAAGCCTCGGGGTGGCTTACAAATAAATAAATTAAAATACATAAATAACGATATAAAATACACATAACTGTATAAAATATATCCCCAGGGCGGGGTGTTCCTGGCTCCTGCACTGCACCCCATGGCTCATTTTGATGGGACTACTTGGAGGAGCCCTCTGGCAGTTTGTGCCCTATAGGGCTGAACCCCCCAACCTTTTTGCAGTGCCTGGAGCGGGCGCTTTCCTTTGTCTCGGCATGGGCCCAGCGTGCAGGCCCCCTGCCCCCCCCCCATTGATGCGGGGTGTGGGCAGGCACTGCCCAAGGGAGCATAAGTACTGAAGCCAGAGAGGAAGCCTCCCTCTTGCTCTTGCTTATGATGTTTCGCCCGACGGGGGTGTTCTTTGCACGTGGCTGATTTTGGAGGCTGGGAGCGGGGGGGGGGGCAGAGTGATGGGGCTGTCGGTAGCCAGGCATGGACCGGCTGTTCCGTGCTTTTGTGTGTCGCTGGTCCCCTGGCCCAGCCTTCCTCAGCCCGGGTCCTCCCGCTGCCCTGGATGCCATGGGAGGATACCGGCTCGCTCTTGAGCCGTGCTGGCACCGAAAGTAGGCATAATTGGGCAGTTACCCAGGGGCCGCGCCTAAGAGGGGCCCACGGCAAAGGCCCCCTTGAGTAGCTCTTCCTCATCGTCCTTGTGTCCTGCCTGCTCACCTCTCCGTCCGTCTGTCTGGCCAGACGACAGTGGTGGCCGGAAGAGGAGCAGGAGACGATGCCGGGCGCTCTGCCTGCCTGTCAGCGAGTGGCTGAGGAAGAGGAGGAAGAGGAGGGAGAGCAGCGGGTAACAGTGCCCGCAAGCTACTCAGCTCTCCGAGTCAGTGGCTTGGCCCACCGAACCCAGAATTGCCAACACAGGCCGACAGCGGCAGGAGTACAAGCCCCCCCCCCCCAGGCATCAGTTTGCCCATCGGAGGTTCTTGCTGTGATGGCCAGGGATGGACCGGCTGAGCCAGGGACACCTCCGGAGGTCCCTCGCTGCCCCCCACGTGCCCTGCCTGCCACCTTTCCGAAAGCTTCTGGCACCCCCCCCCCCGCAGAAAGGGGGTGCCGGCTGTTGACACTTCTCTGTGGGATCATTTCGTGGGTGACTCATCCCTGGCTTAAACTCACCCGCATCTGTTTCGAAACAACAAAAAAGATTAAAGATGGGGGTGGGTGACTTGTCTTTGTGGGGGGGGGTGCTGTGTGGTGAGATTAATTAATGTGTGCAAAGTGGGTTGAGCCTGGAAAGAGTGAGATAAAAGCCGGGCCTTCTCATGCAAATTGCCCGCGGCCTCCTGGGTGCTGGCAGGATGCCAAGCAGCCGCTTTCCCCATCACTTTCTCTCCTGCCCCCCCACCCCACTCCCCCCCCCCGCTGGGAAAGCTTCCTGGCGATGGAGGAGCCCAAGCACTGCCCCCTTGCACTGCCCCCCCTCCCGCCCGGCACACCCGCCATCTTGCCTGGGGGGGCACTGCTGTGCTCTTTGTGTTTCGGCAGAGCAGAAGGCGGCGGGGCAGGGGGGGGGGAGCTTCGCCTCTTGCTGCATCTTCCAGGGCGGGTGTGGATTTGGGCTCCTGGGGGGGCCCAGGGGGTGAGTTATCTGCAGTGCGGGGAGCTGAAGAATCTGCCACACGCGGGGGCGAACCTGAACCCGTTGCTGCTTCCGGAGCAATCAGCATCCTCCCCCCCCCCCCCCCCCCGGTGCTTCAAGCAGGATGCCCTCTGCCTTGTGCCAGCCCCTCGCCCCCGTTGCAAGAGGCCGGAGGAGCGGCACCCCGCTGGTTTGCGCAGTGCCCCACGGGCACGCTGGGGGTGCCTCGACTCAGGCTTCCCCGGGGGAATAAGGGGAGGCTCAGGGGATGTGCCGGAGTGCAGTGTTTCTGTTTCCAAGCGTCCCTGTGCAGCCATAGGGACTAGAAACTTGCCTGTGAAAAGCATATTTATTTATGTATTTAAAACGCTTTTATGCCGCCCCCATCGCAACAAAGCCTCGGGGCGGCTCACAACAAAAACAAAATATACAAATATAACAATTATACAACAAAAATATTAAAACCCGGTGCATCTCGGCTTAAAAGATTTAAAATCCTATAAATACCAATAAATTAACAATTACCAAATTCACAAACAACCCCGGGTTAAGTTTTGACTGTGATGAAAAATAATAGAGGGGAGATTTTCATTCAACATGTTGGGTAAAAGCTGATGCCCCCAGATGCGTTAAGCGGCTTTCCCAGAATTGCCGGCCAGGATGGATTCGGGGAGCTGCAGCCCAGCACTTGGGGGGGGGGGGGCGCTGTGTTAGGGAAGGCTGCTGGGCGAGTCCACAGGGTCCTGGTCTCTCCTCCGGAGCTTCCTCCGCTTCCAAAAGTCTGATCATCTCTCTGGCGAGGCCAAGCCTGCCCCCTGGAGAGCATTCAGCCGGCCGGGACTTCCAAGGTTTGAAGCTGGGCCAGTGGGGGTGGAACGATGCATTTTATTTATTTATCTATTTATTTCCCGATTTATACCCTGCCTTTTTCCTACAAAGGGCTCAAGGCAGCTGACATCATTCTCCTCCTCCATCTGATTGCCACAACAACCCTGTGAGGTAGGTTGGGCCGAGAGTCCGTGACTGGCCCAAAGCCACCCGGTTGGCTCCATGGCTGAGCGGGGACTGGAACCCGGATCGCCTGAGCCCCAGTCCCAGGCTCTTAACCACTATGCCGCACTGCCTCTCAGCGGTGGCTGGCTAACTGGGCCAGGGCCTAACAGGGCAGGGCATTTGTGGGGGAGGTCAGCAGAGTCCTCCCCCCATCCACAGGGATCCCTTCTCCCAGGCAGGGGTATTTCTAGTCCTGGGAGCAGTTGGGGGGGGTATGTTGGGGCGACGCTTCAACTACCCTTCCAGCCTTTGTTCACAACCCGCCTTTCCTTTAGAAAACACAGAAGAAAAGCAGCGGAAACCTGTCACTGGAGTCCTTTTGTCTGCTAATCTGCCATTAAGCCAGCAGTGGTGCTGATGTTTTGTGGTTGTGTGGATGCTTTTGGGTAGTTGGGGTGGGGGAAGAGTCTTGCTTTGACCTACATGAAGCGGGGAAATGCAGATCTTGTACCGGAGATGAGAAGGAAGGTCTTCTGAATGCTTCTCCTGGAACACGTGCTCCCAGGAGATTCCCGGGGCCATACCTGGGAAGTATAATTCTCATTGAATTAGAATCAGGTGGAGAAGCTTTCCCAACTGGTAACCTGCAATGGCGTGTGGACTACAGTGCCCATCAGCCGCAGCCAGCATGGGGAAGGGTTTAGGGTGTAGGCCTGACATGCTTCTCTGGTGCTGAAAATCAATGTTTTACCTGTAATTCTGCAAGATATGTAATGTTGTCACGTTAGAAACGGGGATAAAGTTTCTATTAGTCAGGAACCCGAGATAATGAGGTATTAAAGAGGCTTTAAGAGATCATGAGCAGTGAATTGTGTTTGAATAGAAAGCAGGAATTCATTAAGGAGTCGGATTAGGAGTCCCTGCCTTCCTCCCTTCACGCTAGAAGAGGAGGCTCAATTGCTCACGGAATAGAAATGGGAGGGAACAGAAATGCTGCACTGATTAATCACGATCCAGGTAGCAAAGGAGGCAAGAGAGAGCAGAACGAGAGGCTGGCTGCAGCCGAATACGGAGGAAGTTAATCCTCAGAGGCATTTTGCATGGTGCAGCGGGAGGGACGCAGAAACCGGAGCGTCCAAGCCAGGGGCGTCTGGGGAGCTCCGCCACGGTCGGACTCATATGCGGGGTCGAGAAGCTCTTGGGCTTCCCAAATGCTCCACTGCAGTTCTTACCTCACAGGGCTGTTGTGAGATTACATGGAGAGGAGGAAGCCTTGGGTTCCTGGCAAGAGGGAAAAAGTGGCATATAAGTATAAGAAGAAGTCAACATCGTTAAATAAAGCTGCCTCCTGCCTCAGCAACCCCACCTGAGGACCCAGGATCTTGCATTCAGTAAAATTCCTGGAGAGCCGTTACAGCTTGCAAGGCTGGGAGCCTCCAGATCCTTGGCTCCTCCGTGCGCGGTCCCCTCTGTGCCCTGCGAGGGCTGCAGCGCCCTGCCGGTCCCTCAGCCACATCCCCTTGTGGGAAAGCTTTTTGCAGGGGAGGGGGGCAAAGGGAAGAAGGGAGGGCCAGAAATACCAGGCTTGCTGTCCGCAGCAAAACCTGAGAAGAGGGGATTCAGTTTCTCAGAAGTGGGGCCAAGAACCCACCCAGTGGGGCTGAATTCGGAGTCCGTGTGCCCAGACGTGTGCTGCCAGAGGTTTGGTGGGCTCAGTCCTCGCTCAGCTGCTGCTCTTCCTCACCATGGCCGGCCCTCCTTGGTCTGGGGCCCCGAGGTGGCTGGGCTGCTCGAGAACGATGGGCATTCCTGTTCAGCACATCGGAGGGTGCTGGGTGGAGAAAACTGGCCTGTTCCATAAAGGGGTTTTCTTGCTTTTTACCCCTCCCACCCTCTTGCTTCAACTGCTCGTGTGGAATTGATGTGCACTGAACAACTCCAATCAGCTGCCTTGATTTTCATGCAAGAGGCTTGGGCTCTGGTTTCAAAAATCTTAGTTCTTGGACGCACCTTCCCAGCCGTTACCTTGAGCAGAGGATCTCGCTTCCCTTCCAGGCGTCTGTGGATGCTGCGGAGCCCTGCGTCCCCGTTACAAGCGGCTCGTTGACAACATCTTCCCCGAGGATCCGGAGGTGAGGGTTGCGGAGCCCCTTCCGCACGGCTGGGCCTGGCACTCGGGCGGCTGGCGTGTGTTCTGCACTCCTGGCCTCCCCGTAAAAGCTCAGATTCTGCACTGGCACCCCCAGTGCGGCACCTGTGGGGTCCCTGCCTTGCCTGCCCCGAAGTTTCCTGCCCCACTGAAACCTCCTCTTTTCTGTTACCGCCCTGCCTGTAGGGCAGCCACCCCAAACATGTTTGGGGTCCCTGCAGCATCGCCGTCGCCCTCTCGTTCCACACCCTTCCTGAGCATCCCCTGGCAGAAGGTGCTGGACCGCTTTCAGCCCGCGAGCCCCATCTGGTTTCAGGGAAGTTCTCGGGGGTCTCATTCGGATGGGGGCAGAGAGGGTGTGAGCCAAAGGCAAGACAGGAGGACTCAACTGGCACGTCGCCACTTGAAGCTTTGACAGGTTGCAGCCCAGGCCTCCGGAAAGACATCCCGACTTCCTCAGAGGGGGCTTGGCAGACTCCCAAAGGCGGAAATCCCCAGGTTTATTTATTCATCTGTCATATTTCTATCCTGCCTTTTTTCCTTCCAAGCAACTCAGCACAGCTTACATAATTCTCCTCCTCCTCCTCTCCCTCTTGTCCTCACAACAACCCTGTGAGGTAGGTTGGGTGGAGAGGCTGTGACTGGCCCAGAGTCACACACTGGGCTCCTGGGCTGAGTGGGGACCAGAACCCGGGTCGCCCGAGTCCCAGCCCCAAACTCTTAACCGCAGCACCACATGGGCTCTCAAATGAAGGGGGAAGGGGGGGCCATCTTTGGAACCCCAGGGGGCCCGATCGGGACCCCAGGCCTGAGATTTTGTTCCCCTTCCTGAGCCGAAAGGGCCTGATGCCTGAGTCAGGTGCAGAGGGAGGGCAGACCGGCCCGTATCTGAGCCATCCTTGGACCTGGAAGCAGAGCCGATGGCTCACGGGCCCCGTGGCCGCCCCCAAAGGCTTCTCCTCGCACCTCCCCCCCCCCCCGCCGAAGAGGTCCTGCCCCCAGGTGAGCCAGACTCTGCGCTGGGAGTTCGCGCATGCCAGGCCCCGCAGCATGATGCTCGAGGAATCCTTCCCGGGGGTGGAGGCGCTCATCTCCGCCCCCTCCCTGCTCCCCAGCGGGGACGCAAAGTGCCGGAGGAGGAGGAGGAGGAGACCTGGACGAGCCTCCGTGTGGCTTTTGGGTGAGAAAAAGCCCTTCCTGCGCAGGCGGACAGGCGCATGAGTGCGGCGGCCCTGGGTCCTCCCAGCACGGCCCCCCGCTTCTCTCACCCCCAATATCTTGCTTTCAAGCCACGTGCGCTGCTGGCGACACGGCGGGCGGGAGCGACGGATCTGTGCCGCCGTGTGCCCGCCGGGATCTGTGTGTGGGGAAGCACAGGAGGGCTTGCGGGGGGGGGGGGGCTCCTCCAAGGGAGGCACCGGGGAGCATCTGCCACTGGGGGTCTCGTGGGGCGACTGCCCAGGCTGAAGAGGCTGGTCAGCACCCGGGCACGGACGGTGGCTTTGCAAGGCTGTGGACCCCAGGGGAGCCTGAGCCCCCTCCCTGATTTGCCTCCAGCTCGGAGCCCCCAGGGGGCCAAGGCCTGAGCACAGAGCCCTGGTGGTGGGGAGGAACCGGTGGGTCCAGGACCGAGCACCAGACTTGTGGGGAGGAGTCCCTTGCAGCCAACCCCACCCCGGTCACGAGCAAGACGACCATCCAGGGGCTCAGCGGACCCCTGTGTCCTCCTGAGCAGAGCGGCCGAAGCAGGAGGGAGAGCTGCCTGGAAGAGCCACTCGCTGGGCGTTCCCCTCCCCCCATAAGGCAGGAGTGGGTAACCTGCATCAGAGATGGGGCAGAGGACCCCCCCTCCCGCGCGATTCTCTGTGGGCCAGATCATGTCACGGGGGCGGGCCAGGCTTCCTTCCTTTCTCTGCAGGATAAGTGTGCAGCCCCCCCACCCGGAGCCCCTGGGCTGCAGAGATAACCAAGGGTGGGCCAAGCAGTCCCTCTGGGGGGGCGGGGGGAGTAGCACACCCCCTTGTTATCTCCAGTCCAGGTTGGAGATACCAAGACCTTTCTGTCGGGAAGGAAACCAAAGACCGGCAGCGGGAGGTTGGCTGCAGCAGGGACCTGTGCCGCATCCTGTTGCCGCTGCAGAAGGTTGGAGCCAGGGGCTTCCGCAGGGGCCAATCCCTAACTGAGCACCTTCTGTGGCAAATGGCTAGCCAGGGGCTTCCTTGCACCCTGGCCCTGCTCCTTTTGGCTTCTCCTCTGGGCCAGGGATCGCTTCCCGGCATTCCTGGGGCTCTGGGTTCGGAGGTCCTCGCTGGCTCCTCTCCAGGTCACCCAAACCCACCCACAAGCCCCCCTTTCTTTCAGGACGGGCTGGTGAAGACCAACATGGAGAAGCTGACCTTCTACGCCCTCTCTGCTCCTGAGAAGCTGGACCGCATTGGCGCCTACCTGTCGGAGAAGCTGATCAGAGACGTGAGCAGGCACCGATACGGGTAAGGGGCACCTCGAGATCATCAGGCCTGCCTCGCAGGGTGCTCAGACGGATCCCTCTGGCTCTGCGGAGGAGCCACCGAAGAGGCTTCAGGGTTCCCTGGGGAAGTTTCTCAGGCGGAACGTGGGAACTGGCCTGCTTTGGAAGCGGCTCAGGACCACGGGAGGTCGTTGAGGCCCCGTCGGTGCGGGTGTTCAAGGACAGGCTGGACGTGCACATGGTGGGCATGTCGTGAGCGGAGCCGGCTGGAGCCGGAGGTCAGACTGGATGGCCTGGGAGGCCCCTTCTGGCTCGCTCTGTTTCTATGTTTCTATGGGAGGGGAGCAGGGCCAGACTTGGTCCTTGGCCCAGCAGGGAGGCGTGGGGAGAGGCAAGCTCGTCCCCTGCGACACTCCCCCCATCTGGCTCCCCAGCAGAAGGAGCCACCCTGGCGGTGGAGCCAGGAGCTCTGCAGAAAGGGAGGGCAGGGGATGTTTCTAGTGTGGATGCAACTCTTTCCATGGGCAGAGGCCTCTCCCTCAACTCTGGCAGTGGACTCTTTAGAATTACCGCTGGCCTGGCGTCTGTCACGTTTCAGAAAGGGAACTTCACTTCACAGGATTGACCGGAGTTTGCGAATCAGAAGGAAAGAGGAAAGGGGCCAGCTCACGACAGCTGCGCTCTTTCTTTTCGCGCTCCTGAGCTCTGGAGTGCAGGCAGATGGGTGTTTAGACAGGAAGGGGGCCTGCAGGTGCTCCCGGGCATGCTGGGAGCCGTAGGCCATCTTTCTGTCCAGACCGGCATAGCATGTGTCCTCCAGTGTCTCGGATGGTGAGACTGTTTGCTCCTGCGAATTTGCTCGAGTGGAAGGTCCGTCCAGACATCGCAGAGCAGAGGTAGCTTCTGCATCAACCCAGGGTGGCTTGGTTCACACGTAAGCCTAACCTATCTTGAAGCTGTGGTTGGCCCTGCCCTGAAGGCAGCCAAGAAACCCTTGCCCAACCCAGCACTTGTCTAACAGACAAGTGGCTAAACGGTGGTTTGGTTTCTCAGTGCCCGGGTTGTTTCCCTCCCTGCTACGGCACTGCATTGTTGACTCATCCAGCAGCCGGGTTTTTAACAGCTGTCTGCTGCCACTTTTGTAGTCTGGTGAAACAACCCACAGACAACCCACATTCTGGGTTCACACATAGCAACAACCCATGCTTTAAACAACCAAGGGCTCACAACCCAACAACAAATCAAGCCCTTTCTGTGCCCGGGGAGCTGCGTCGCATGACACATCCCAGCTCGTACACGTGAACTGCCGTTTGGATACTAAGCAAGCCGGGGACTTAGCAAGGTTTGTTTCACCCTTGAATAACCCAAGATGACCTGCACAATCAAAACAGCCGGGGCACATGCCCAGCACCTGCTGCTCTTTGTGTGCTAAGTAACCCACAGTGGGCAGGCAAATCAGGGCATAGCTCATCGCCAGACAAAATGTTCGCTCTCCATCGGGCTGTTTGTGACTAACAAACCGGAGTTTGTCACTGTAGCTGCAGATCGTCCATCCAAGCAGCCCGGAATGCCACTGCCCGTGGGGGAGAGAAGGGACGGGCGGGCCTTCCGCTGACTCGGGAGCGTCGCTCTCCGCGGGGCCCTTTCGCAGACCTGGCTGCCGGCGCTCAGCGAGAGCTGGGCCACCTGTGCACTCACCTGAGCTGGTCTCTGGAAACGTGGGCCTCGTTGGAGCGCGTGTGGCCGGCTTAACCCCTCTTAGGGGCCTCTCTCCCTCCTTCTCGCCAAGCAAGAGTTAGCACACCTTTGCTCTGGCTGCTGGGCTCCTGGACATGCAGCCGCCGCCGCTTTTTAGAAAGCCCTGCTCTTGCAGGCGTGCGGCTCCGTGACTGAGCAGATTCGGCATCCAGCGCCTTTCCCAACACCTGCCTTTCGTCCTGCAAGCGCGGCTGCTCTGCGCGGAGGCGGTGCTCACTGGGGCGACGCGTGCGCGTGTTCCTTCCGTGGGAGTCGCGGTTGCCGAGAATAAATCGCTGCTCTGCTTAGGGTTGCCAGATGAAGCGCCAGATGAGATGCGGCTGTCAGATTGCTCTGGGGCGGATTCTCTTTCCGTCTTGCCGGCTCAGCCCTGGCAGCCTTTGTCTCTCGGTTGCCGTTTGCACTTGGATCTGGACTGCGGCTTTTATGAGCCAGAAAAGGAAGCGCGGGGCGGGGGGCGGGGGGGGGCAGAGATTGTGCTATAAAAAACCAAATGCAGCGTTTCAAAGCTGCGAAGGCTCCTGCTTTCACCAGAGCTGACAGTCCCCTCAAAATTTTGTCATAGCTTCCATGCGCAAGAGACTATTAATAAGTTTTTCTTGCGGTACAAAAGCAGGGCCGTGATGAATGATGCCTGGCTGCTCCAGGCGAGGGTCTCTTTCTGTTCTTTTCTTTTTACCTGGTGGGTATAAATATATTTTATGTTCTGATTTCAGATGCTTGGGGGACGCAGGGGCACCACTTAACCCTTTCAGGGCAGCCACTTGACTTGCTCGAGCTTTTGTGGCGGCAGAATAATCTTACTGATGATCTTTAGTCTGGAGTGCCAGGAGATGGTCTAGGGCAGGGGTCGGCAACCCGCGGCTCCGGAGCCGCACGTAGCTCTTGAACCCCTCTGCCGTGGCTCCGTCGCTCGCGTCACGGCCGCCGCCGATCCGCGGCCCGTGCCGGCACAGCGCTTGGATAAATCGAAGAAAAGTTTCTGAAGAAAACCAAACGTTTAATGATCCGTGGGTAGCTTCATTTGCTTTTACTGCTGACGAACTTACGGGGTTTGCCGTTTAATGCATGCAGCCCTTTAGCACTGCCTTTGACTCTGCAGGAAGCTCCCATTCAAAATGTATGGAAGGAGTCCTACTAGTTTATAATGTAAGATTAAAAATAACAGTTTTGACTGAACAAGAGCTGCAGCTGAATCATAATGAAGATATACATAGCATTAAGGTAAAAAACGGTATATGCAGTGTTATCTTCATTTTAGACGTCAAAAGGGTTTTGCGGCTCCCGGTGTTTTCTTGTGTGGGAAACGGGGCCAAACGGCTCTTGGAGTGTTGAAGGTCGCTGGCCCCTGGCCTAGGAGATGGTCACCCTTTCCCACCTGAGCTCAGCAGGCTTCCGTGCAGCCTCGTGGACATGTCTTGGAGCACGGTTCCTATCATTCCCAGCCAGCCTGTCCTGCCTAGTGCAGGCTTTCCAGGTCCTGGGCAGAGAAGACCTGCTTGGCATTCCGTGTTTCCTCATCCTTCCAAGTGGGGATACAAGAAGCTCCCGCTCGGGATGCCATGCCGAGCTGCCGGCCTCCAGCTGTCCTCATGTCCTCCTAATCCTTTATGCAAATTAAGTTCCTGGAGGCTGGCAGATTGGCTGATGGCAGCTCGTTATTTCGGGTGCTTTAATTGCGGGGAGGCTGGTTGTGAACGTCTCGAAAGCATCTCTGCAGACCAGACGAGCAGGCACTGAAATGGCGAGTGAGCTTCAGTGACACCCCCGGTTGGGGTAACCTCCTCCCCCCCCCCCCCCGGTTTCACATATCAACTGATGCAGACTGGAGCTATCAGGGAAATCGCTTTGGGGCTGTCATGGACAGCTTGATGAAAACCTCTCCCGTTCAGACTCCCGGGAGGCTGCGAGCGGTTCTGCTCTCTGCGGCTCAGAAGGCCGTTCTCGGGTTGGAAAAGGTGTGCAAGAGAGCAGCTCGCGCGATCCAGGGGCTGGAGCGAGCCCCGCACGAGGAAGGCTTGCAACCGGCTGCGGGGCCTAGCAAGATGGGAGGCCTGGGGAAAGCGGGGAGGGAGGACTTTCCGCCCCAGTCCCATGGGATTATGCAGAGGCCGACTGCAGGGAGATCGGGAACAGATCCAAGGACAGCTGTTTCCATGGGGCAGGTGCTTCCTGGAGTGGCACGACGGCCCCCGATTTGGTGGCCTGCAGGGGCCCAGGCACGTCCCTGGCGGGAGGAGGTGCTGCTTGCGGCCTTCCCTCAGCCCCCGCGTGGCCAGGATGCTGGACTGGCTGGAGGGGCCCCGAGCTTGGCCCACCGTGGCATGGCTCGCCGAGTGTCCGAGTGGAAGTTGCAGGGTGGTCCCGGCCCCGCTGCCCCCTGGGGAACGCACAACGCACACTTCAGGAGAGCCAGTGTTGCACGGTGCCACCTGGGAAGTCCTTGACCCTCTCGCCTCCGCCCAGGCCCCTGGTGCGTGGCCTCCGTCCCTCAGCCCAGCCCAGCCCAGCTGGCGTAATAACCTGCAGCCTGGATTGAAAGCAGGGGCCCCTGCCCCACGGCAGGGTCGCCAGAGGCAAGCCGGCCCCCCAGGCCGCCCTGGCCGAAACCACACGCAGGCGTGGGCCCATTTGGTGTCGTCCTATTTGTGTCCCCCCGTTTTAGAAACATAGAAAGCAGAGCGAGTCAGAAGGGGTCCCCCGAGCCATCTAGTCTGACCTCCAGCACCAGCCGGCTCCGCTCACGACATGCCCACCATGTGCATGTCCAGCCTATCCTTGAACACCCGCACCGAGGGGGCCTCAACCGCCTCCCGGGGAAGCCCATTCCACACCCTGGGGGTCCTAACCGTCAGGAAGTGCTTCCTGGCATCCGAATTGAACCTTGGTTCCCTGAGCTTTGCTCCGTTGGAGCGCGTCCTGCCTTCCTCTGCAGGGGAGAACAGGTCTCTACCCACCTCCGTGTGACACCCCCTCACATACCTGTATGTCGCCAACAGATCCCCTCTGAGTCTCCTCTTCTCCAGGCTGAAGAGACCCAGTTCCCTCAGTCTCGCCTCACACGGCATCCCCTGCAAACCGGCCACCAACCTTGTGGCCCTGCGCTGCACTGACTCCAA